AGCTTGAAACCAGAGAGGCCCCCACCGCGTTGCCTCTCAGCTGCCAGCTGAGCGCCGCTGCCTGGGTCACGGCTGCTCTAAGGCTGCTGTGCTGGGCTCTGTGCAGCCCTCCCACCGTGAAGCAAGACTCTTCCACGTCCAGGAGGTGACCCCACCCTTGCTGAGAGGTGGGGCAGGCTCCCCTCTCCCAACAGCTGTGATGGGAGGGGAGGCGCTGGGTGATGTACCCCAGTCCCGGCCCCCAGAGCTGTCACAGCCTGACAGCCAGTGGCTTGCAGCCTGGCACCGGTCCACAGGATAGCTGTTGGGAACCGCTGCGATAGAGAATAAGACAGAGAATATCTTATTGTTCAACCTGTATTTACTTGTTCCCATCACACAAGAACTAAGGGTCACCAAATGAAATGAATGGGTAGCAGGTTTTAAACAAATGGCAGCATTTCTTCCCACAACACACAATTCAACCTGTGGAACTCCTTGCCAGAGGATGTTGTGAAGGCCAGGACTTTAACAGGCTTCAAAAAAGAGCTACATAAGTTCATGGATAACAGGTCCATCAATGGCGACTAGCCAGGATGGGCAGGAAAGGTGTCCTTGCCTGTGTTTGTCACAGACTGGGAATGGGAGACAAGGGAGGGATCACTTAATGATTCCCTGTTCTGTTTCCTCCCTGTGGGGCATCTGGCATTGGCCACTGTTGGATGACAGGATACTGGGCTAGATCAGTGGTCCCCAACCTTTTGGGGCTGCCGGGCACCCGGAGACCGGGCCACACACGCACCCGGGGGCGGGGCCATGCACGTGCCTGGGGGCGGGGCCACCCATATGGTGCGCACCTGCTGCTGGCGCCACCCATGCGCTGCACTCCCTGGGCTGGCTCTTGTGCCGCACGCCATGGGGTGGGGCTGCCCATACGCCGTGCGCTGGGGCCGGAACAGCCCGTGTGCTGCATGCCCAGGGCTGACGCCGCTCATGTGCCGCGCGCCCAGGGCTGGCGTTACCCATATGCCGCGCGCCCAGGAGCCAGCACAGCCCTTGCACCGCACACCCGGGGGCGGGGCCGCCCAAACGCCATGCGCCCGGGGCCGGCACTGCCCATGTGCCGTGTGCCCAGGGGCGGGGCCGCCCATGTGCTGCATGCCTGGGGCCAACGCTGTCCATATGCTGTGCGCCCAGGGAGCAGGTCCAGCCCCGTTCACCCGTTGGGCGCACAGAAATGGCCCGGCGGGCGCCATGGCGCCTGCGGGCACCACATTGGGGACCATTGGGCTAGATGGACCTTTGGTCTGACCTAGTGTGGCTGTTAATATGTTTGGCCCCCCCAGTGCTGTCACAAAGGGCTGGCAGACACAGGTGTTGTGGGGAAGATCAGACCAAGTGAATTCCACACTTCGGGGCATTGGTAACACGAGTGGGGGTAGCCTTTGTGTCATCTTCCTTGACCTTTGAGCCTCTCAGATCTTTCAGAACCGGTGGACGTGTACAGCGACTGGATAGACGCTTGTGAGGCGGCCAATCAATAGCAGCAAATGGGCAGGAAGCTCGTTTGTACTAATTCTGGATGTTACAGTATTTGTACGTGGAAAAAATGTGCTAGTTCCATCACATGAGACAATCGGGGCTTTGGAGAAGGTGGCTGGCGTTTTAGTAGCTTTTCCATCCAAGGATCTTTTTATAACTGTTGTTCCTTTTCGGCAATTGCCCTGGGGCCCACGCACGTGTAACGCTGCTAAGGGACAATTTGGAAATGCTGCTCTAGTTTAAGGGGGTGGGGGGAGAAATATTTTGTTTTGCTCAGCCCGGCGGTTTGAAAGTTTACAAGGTAAGAAACGGCTTGTCACCATGATTAAATTGCAACCGTTTATTAAAAACCCGAAACCAGCCACTAATCCTAGCCTGGCCAAGAAGTGCCCTTTTGCTGGCTGGATCCCTGTTGGAATAGGCTACGTCTTGGCTTCCATCCGGCTTTTAATAGCAGTTGAAATGTTGATTCAGAGGCAGTCTTGCCTGGTGACTAGAGCAGGACAGCTGGTTGTATGGAGTCTTGGGTTCTTTTCCTGTGTCTTCCACCAGCTTCCAGTGTGATCCTGGGCAAGGGGCTTCCCCTCTTAGGCACCTCAATTTCTCGCTCTAAATCAGAGTGACCAAACACTCTGACCTTTATAAACTGCTTTGAGAGCTGTGGACACAAGCACCATTAACAGTGAGATTCTGTAGAACCTCCTCCTTCCAGTCCCAGGTCTGGATGTTGGTGTTTGGCCACTTTCGCCAGAGGGGGGACTCATGGAAAAGTCCCCAGCTGCCACATTTCATTGTGACTTACCTAAGTGGGGGTGCTGCTGTACGGGGGTGTACGTGTCCTAGCGCAGCGTAAACTGGTTTGAATGAGCAGTTTGGCAGCAAACAGGACAGTTGCCCTGGCACAGAAGGCTGATTTTCTCAGGTGGGTCCCGCTGCAGCTGTCTGCCCAGATTTGCTCATTTATCCCTTAATCAAAGTACAGCAAAACTTCAGTCCTGGAGGGCGGGAAGTGAATTGGGCTGCGGTGTCAGAGAACTGGGGGAAGGGGGCGACAGGCGTCTGCAGTGTGGAAGGCGGAGGGGCTTTTGCTACGGCTGCACGTGTTGGAATCATGGTGACAGGCGTCTTTTCCCTTCTAAACATCCCGACACTACACTGAGCAAAACCTCGGCTGCTGCGGCTCACAGAGCCACGTGGGGGCCGTTGCTCGGATGGTTTATTTTCGCAGTCACTTCAGCAGTGGCAGACCCCGGGCTGACGTGAATTTGGGCCTGCAGGGAATTGTTTGCGGGGGGCGGCATCAATGGGAGTGAGAGGGGAAGGGAGGAGGAGCTAAGTTAGCCACCTTGGGCTCCGTTGGCTTTTACCTGCTGCTTTTAGCTTGAGGAAATGTATCGGGGCTTCCTTGGATCTTCCTGGAGCGCAAGGGCAGAGCCTGGAGCTCCTTCCTGGCCACTGATTGATTTACAAGCCCCCGCCTCAGGGCGCTGCATGGGCCGGGGATTAAGCTGGTTTCAATTCCAGGCTGGGTTTGGTGCGAGTGCAGAGAAGGGGCTAGGAAGTGGCAGTCCTGGGTTTGTCTTGGGAGGGGGCTTTTTAGACAGAAATTGTTTGCAGCTGTAGAATGACCCTTTAATAAATGACGTTATGGGGGGAAGTGGTCTGCATGTGCCCTTTTGTTGTCATTGGTGTCACACGGATTCTGGGCCCAGAGACGGGACTCATTTCCCTGAGGCAGGTGGGGGTTTGCGCGAGCCGCGTTGCTGCATGAGAGAGCAGACAAGCAGCAGGAAATGCTGGGTTCTTTTCCCATCCATAAGCAAATTCTCCCCTTGTGCAGTGCCTCAGTTTCCCCCTTTGTAAGATGCAGGTCAGTGTCCTCAACGTGCTGTGAGTGCATGGCGTTTCTGCCTTGCAAGGATGAAGGACTCCGAATCTGCTGATGTGCTGTTCCCTGCCCGCGCCCTCTAGCTCTTAGGCGGCCGAGCGCTTAGTGTGTCAACAACTGCCCCCCACAAACCCACGACTGTGAGTCCGAGCCTGGGTCTGCTGAGATTGAAAAGTGTAGACGTTCCTGCCTGGGCTTTGGGGCCTGTCCCACCTGGCCGGGGCTCCAAGCCCTGGTTCCAGCCTGCGTTGCAACATCTACACTGCTGGTCTTAGCCCTGTAGCGGAACCTGGCTGACCCCGTGGTTCAGTTTCCTCCGTGGTCTCTAATGCAGCAGGAGCCTGGACCCACATGAGTTTGGTTGCAAATGAGCCTGAATCCCCGCAAGCCACAGTCTGTGGCTGAAGCAGCTTCCTAGAGGCAAAGAGGTTTCTGGAGTCCAGGCATGGCCAAAGCCAACTTCCTAACTCAGCAAAATGAGCCAAATCTGCATGAGGCCACGTTCCAGCGAAGGACAAAAGGCTGCAGCGTCGGGAGAACGGGAGTGGCTGTGGTGCAAGAAAATCAGCTGAGCAGGCGCTGTTTGCTCGGAAAGATTGTGCTGGGCAAACAGCTTGTAAAAGCCTCTGTAACCTGGTGTCAAGTGTCAGGGGGTCGCCGTGTTAGTCGGGATCTGCAAAAGGACGAGGAGTCCTGTGGCACCTGGCAGACTAACAGATGGATTGGAGCATAAGCTTTCGTGGGCAGAGACCCGCTTCATCAGATGCATGTAGCGGGTCTTTCCACTACATGCATCTGACAAAGTGGATCTTTGCCCACGAAAGCTTATGCTCCAATCCATCTGTTAGTCTGCCAGGTGCCACAGGACTCCTCGTCGTTGTTACTGGTTAGTGGTGGTGTGGGGAGAGCTCGCTGCGCCTTTTCCCTGCACTCCATGGGCTTGAATCGGTTCCTTGGTGTCTGGTAGAATCGGGGGGAATTTGGCTGTCCCAGGGCAGGTCCCTGCTGGCACCTGCTCCCTGTGGGGCTTCCTTTTGAAATGTACAGGAGCGTTGCCTGGTTCCCCAATGGCCCCACGCTCTTTGTGCGGCTCCCGCTACAGCTCAAAGGCAGAGGTGCCCTTACAGACGAATCGAATAGTCGATGGAAATCCCATTGACTATTGGATTAGTTAATTGATCTACATTTAACATCCCCAGTCCCCTGCTGTCTTTGGCCCAGACTTCCTGCGTGCACAACTTGGCTCATGCTTCCTTCTGGCCTGTTGCCCCGGCTAGCCCAGTGCTGTGTCGTCCCGTTTCCAGTCCCCCAGGCCCGCCCATGGCGCTCAGTGACACCCCTCGCCCCCCGTTGTTTCTGGGCTTGGGTCCCTCCTGAGCACCCCCTGCAAGTCGTGCTGAGTGTGCTGCTGGTTTGAAGGGCAGAGTCACCAGAGACCAGCGAACTCGCTTCACTTGCAGCCTCACACGGGCCAGTCACTCGCTCTCCTCGTGACTTGTCGCGTGGCCTTGACGTGCGGCAGCCCATGGAGCTGCAAAGCCAGGTAGTGACAGGGCAGAGAGGCTGCGTTCCCTGGGGCAGGAGGAGCTGACCTAGCGCTTGCCTTAAGTGGTCTCCCTTGCTCCTTGATGTTCCCTTCTCAGGCTCTGTAGCTGAGGCACCGAATCCTAGCCATGTGGAACCGGAAGGGACCTCAGTAGGTCACCTCCCCTGCCCCACAGTGGGACAGAACCTGGGCCCCCATGGCCCTGAGCAGACACAGCCTGCGCTGCCAGAAGTAGCTCTGTGGGGTGGGAACCCAACCTCCCCAATGCTATCGATAGAAGCCGTGTCCACCGGGGGGTTTGTTGGCCTAGCGTGGCGGCTGAGGGGCAGTTCTCTGCCGGGGGGTTTCAGACCTGGAGCACCGATTCCGCGTGCAGCCTCTTCCTTCCCACGCCCCATGTGTCTGTCGCAGATGGAAACGGGAAGCAGTCTGGGTGTCTCTCTCCCCGCTCCCAGCCCGCGGCGGTGTCACCCCGCTCCTCCATGGCACGCGTGCCGTTTGGCCTGGCCTTTGCAGACCTTCATGGGAGCACCCACCAAGAAGACTGAGCAGAGCGACCGGCTTTCTCGCTTGCGTTTTACCAGGGCCTGTTGCAGGGCATGTCGGGAACATGATTGCAAGCCCTCACTTGTCACCTGAAGAGCGAGGGAAGGCCCGTCCCTGCATTGCCTCGGTGGCACTGGGCAGCGCCTGGCTTGTGCTCTGAGGGCTGCAGGACTTGGAGGGGGAGCAGGTGTCTGATCAGAACATGGCTCAGTGTAAGCGAGTGGGGCTGCCTGTGTGCGCTCATCGCCCTCTGGTGGCCACTCGCCCAGCGGGCTGCCTCCTCGGAGCTAAAGTGCCGCAAGCGTGTGCTGGAGGATGGGAGTCGGAGCCCTGCAAAGGGCGAGGACCGAGGGGGGGGGGTCTCGGTGTCCGTGGGCGGGTCTCCATGCTGTTGTGGATCAGTGCTAACCAACCAGGTCATCCTCAGGGTCAGGAGAGGGAAGGCGGCTGCGGCCGACCGGCGAGGCTTTCAGAAAACCGGCTCCATGACTAATGTGAGCTTTGGCGCGCCGCTTCATATCCGTGTTTCCGTGTCTCCCCTCTTAGTGGGGTCAGTGTCCCTTCCCTGCCAGCCAGCGGAGAGAGAGAATCAGTCCATCTGGTCGGACCCACCTAGGGAGCCGGATTGACGGGTGCTGGAAAATGACAAGCATTTAGAGATGACTTCTCTTCAGAGCACTTAAAACACGCTCTGATCACCTTTAGCCTGATCAGACGTGGCCAATTAGCCTGTGTCGACTAAGGCTGGAACAGTGGAGTCGATTAACCAGTAAGCAAAAGCTTATAGGTTAATGCTATATACTACACCCACTTCCTTCTTCCCCCCACTAGTACATTTTTTAGCAAGCTGGCCAGCAGCCCAGCTCAGTCCTGGCTCACGCTGGGTCTGGGTCCTACCCCGCTGCAGCTCTGCATTTAAAGTGTATTAGGACCCAGGTGAGCAGCCAGCTTGACTCAGTTCCAGCTCGCACCAGGTCCGAGAGCTCAGTCGTCCCCCCCGCCCCCCCGGTCTCCCAGACTGGGACTGCTGTCTCTTTATCAGAGGTAGCAGCACGGGGTGACAGGCAGCCGGTCCGCAAGAGGAGCTGGTTTTTAAACTGGCTTCCCTCGTGAACCAGCTCCCACCTGCCACCCTGTGCTGCTGCCTGATACAGAGGCAGTAGCGCAGAGTGACGGGGGCTGCTCTAGAGTAAGGCTGGGGTGCGCTGGCTATTGGGCCTTGGTGGGGACTATCGAATAGTCGACTAACTGATAAGAATTGGTGAGGTTACTCGACTGTTCAGTTAATTGATATTTAACATCCCTAGTGTGGACCCAGGCGTCCTCGGAGTCGGGGGGAGGTCTGTCTAGCTGTCAGTGCTCTCTCTGCAGCCCCTCTGTTAAAGCTGCGGGACTGGACCTCTGCAGGCAGAGTGCCTCGTCGGCACTCCTGAATCCCCAGGGGCGCTAGAAATCAGCCTCTGGGAGGGGAGACAGGTCGTATTTCTCTCTGTGGCTCACCAGCCCTTTCTGTATCCAGCCACTCCCCGACTTACGACCATCTGTACTTACGCCCAGCCTCCCATTCACCCCGTTATAATATTTTTCGAGTTGAGAACCATGTACGTCAAGTTTTTTGGGCAGCGGGTTTAAGGGTATTTCCAACTTACGACCAAATCGAGTTACGACCAGGTGTTCGGAACGTAACCCGTTCGTAAGTCGGGGACTGCCTGTAGGAGGGCAGCCCTGTGGATAGGAGGCCGGGCAGAGAGATGGGGGAGGTCCTGCTCCACCATAACCTCCCTCTGTGGCCCCGGGCAGGCCCGTTTTAATTTGCCTCCATCCCCCCTTCTCTAAAATGGGAGAACTGTTGAGGATTAATGTTAGATGCTCAAATAGTACGGGATGCCGGGGTAGGCAGGTGCCTAAGACCGTTCCCGTCACACACGAGCGGCGCATAGAAAAAGCGGTTGTGCCACAAACCACTGGAGGGCAGAGGGTTTGGATGGGACTGGCTTTGTGCAGTTGAGTAGCTTTCGTGTTGACCTTCCCTGGTAGACACAGGCTTCCCCAGCGGAGACATGTGGCCCGGAAGCTCTTACGTAAGCTTAGGAACAGGGTTAGAGGAGAGATTTTTTTTTCCTCGTTTTATTGTGCCACAGTGAGAGATTAAAAAGTGCTCGTCAGCAGAACATTACAATCGGCTGGAGCAGCCGTTTATAAATCACTTGATCTGGAGTTGAAAAGAAAGTGTTCAGTTTGCCAGCATGCAGAATGGGGACCTATTCCTGGGCTTTTAAAGGCAGCCTGGCTTGCAGGAAACGCAGTGGCTTCAGTAGTTCACATTCTTCTTTTTCCCCCATAGGTTAATTTGCACCAAAATATTCATCCCAGCATGGGCACTAGCAGAGGTGGATGGGCAGGCTCCTAGCCAGGAGCTCCATTTCGCACTCGGACGCGCGGCTGGAAAACCTGTTCACACACGCTCGGTAGCAGAGGGTGCTGTCCTGGCGGTAGCAGGCAAGTGGGGGTGGAAGGTGTATACAGAGGAGGCCACATATACACACACGGAGAATCTTATTTCCAGAAATGGCATCTGCCATTTGGGCACTTAAGAAAGGGGCAGGAGAACCTTTGCCCGAGGCTGGGGTGGGGAGCAGTTTAAACTCAAAACACGGTCACCTTCTGTACTGCTGGTCCCCCCCCTCCCCTGTGCCTGCTGTGCTCAGGCCTCTGGTGCCAGGGGTGTTAACCAACGTTCCCTCTAATGTTTTCCAGCCATGTGCGGAATACATTTTATGTGCACCGAGGCATGTGTGGATGTGCACCACCAGTAGAAACACAGGCTGCCGGCTGTGGGCGCTCTGCTAATCAGCTGGGCGGCATTTAAATTGCTCCTGGGCAGCTGCCCAAGCGCTCGGCTTACAGGGAACGCGCACCTGGGATGGCACGGAGAGCAGTGGGGAAAGGGAGCGGGGGACTACCGGGGCAGGCAAGCAGGAAGTACACTGGACCTAAGGTGTGCTCAGCCCTCAGCAGTGCATGTCCCTGCGGGCCGGTTCATTTTACAGGCCATCCTCGCTGTAAGTCCAAGATGCATCCCAAAACACTTGGGCTTGCAGCAAAGCAACTTAAAGTGGGGAATTTGTTTCCTTGGGGGGGGGGGGAGGGGGTTGCGTGACTTAAGAGCGGGGAATGGAGGGCTTAGAACACATCAGTTCCTACAAGCGTCTGCGACTTTAGTGCGGAACGGATGTGTCCTGGGGCGGCTTGTTCCCCTTCCTTTAGGGAACGGGTTGGGGGAGGCAACGTTTCTAGAGCACGCCAGCGCCTGTATGGTAGGGTAGGGGGAAGGGCATGAGTGTGTCAGAGCCCAGACACTGGTGATAATGGTGAAAAATCACTAATGTTTATGGCTTTTCACGTATATCCTCCCTCCTCTCCTCCCCCAAATTACTGTCATTGGTCGGCGGTGTTGCGTCCTGGGCTTTGCTCTACCTCAGTGCATTGGCAACTGTTTGACTACACATTTAAAAGCAACTTCAGTAAAGGAGGGGGGTCTGTGACGGGGGTCTGGGGGAGCTGGCGTGGGACCCTCTAGGAGCTGGTTGGCGTTGTGGGGAGCACGCGGGTTTTCCCCTCATTCCTCTTTTTAAAGTAATCCCTTGCTGGTTTGGTTTGTTGTTTTAGAAAAAAGCTGCTTCTAGCGCCACGGCCGTGTGCGTCTCTGTTCAGTCCGTGCCTTGGCCTGCGCCCGGCCCCTCACTCGGAGTTGTAGAAGTTGTGTTCGCTGTGGTTGTACTCCTCGCCGACCATGGGGTAGCTGGGCTGGAGGCAGTACTTGGGGTCGTAGACCTGGCGCGGCAGCCCGTACACAGTCATGCCCTGCTGCGAGGCGCCCTTGTTGCTGCCCATCTGCAGGGAGACGGTGAGGCTGTCGCAGTGCTCCATGCCCAGCGTGGGCTCGAAGATCTGCCGCTTGGTCCCGGGGGCCGTCATGCCCGCCTGCAGGGAGAGAAGGGGGGTCCCGAGGGTGAGGTCTGGAAGGCCAGGAAATGAGATCTTGAGGCCAGTTCCCCCTCCTGGAAATGGCAGCAGGCTCATGCTAAGCCCCTCGTGCTAAGCCCCGCTCCTGCACCCCTTCCCTGGCTTGTGTCTCTCTTACCTGGCTGGCTCCCTTGTTGGTGCCCATTTGTAGACTGATAGTGGCTTGGTCCAGGGGCTGGTCTGTGCCCAGTTTGGGGTCGTAGAGGTGCCGGCGGGTGCCATATGCCGTCATGCCCTGCTGGCTGGCAAACTTGTTGGTGCCCATCTGGAAGGGGAAGCAGAGTCAAACCGCGCTTCCCTGGCTTGTGTCTCTCTTACCTGGCTGGCTCCCTTGTTGGTGCCCATTTGTAGACTGATAGTGGCTTGGTCCAGGGGCTGGTCTGTGCCCAGTTTGGGGTCGTAGAGGTGCCGGCGGGTGCCATATGCCGTCATGCCCTGCTGGCTGGCAAACTTGTTGGTGCCCATCTGGAAGGGGAAGCAGAGTCAAACCGCGTGAGTGGGTTAATGCTGGCTGGGGCGAGACCACGTGTCCTGCTCTCGGCGGGAGGTGCTGCCCCGGGGGTCGGCACCATGCCATGCACAGAGCTGTCCCCAAGGGGAGCGGGAGGAGGCCTTGCCGGCTCCCAGGTGTAGTCAAACTGCCCCGAGCTCCCAAGGTTTCTCCTTTCGGCTCTGAGACAGCCCCGGTGCGGATCCAAACGGAGGGAGAAGCCCCAGCTAAGGTGGCAGCAAAGGGCCCATGGGTTCAAGTTGGCACCTCCTGATGGGGGCTGGGGTGACTTGCTGGCTCCCCTGCATGGCTGAGTCCTGCCCACACACCAGCAGGCTCTGAGCTGCTGAGAAGTCTCAGCAGTGGGACTTCCTCCCAGCTGTGCAAGGCTCCAAGCGGCCTGCCCTGGGGCTGGTGTTTGGTTTCCTCTGGGCCCTGGGATGGTGCTGGGACCAGATCTCTGGCCCCCTGCTCGTGGGGCTGTCTGGGAGTCACAGACCTGCAGCCCGATAACGTTCCGTCCTTCGATCAGCTTCTCGGGCTGGAACCGGCGCTGGTGCTTCTCCGCGTATTTTACACCCACGTTCACTTTGTTGCCTTTTGTCTTGGCCTGTGAGGGGAGGCGGGAACAAAGGCCTCAGGTGAGCGTGGCTGCAGGGGTAGTTCTCCCTGCCCTGCCCAAAGCTGCAGCCCAGCCCGTCTCCCCCCCATGCTCCCCATCTCTAGCTCTTGTTGCACCAGGCACTGCTGACCTCCTCTTCCCCGTGCACCACCGGCTTTGGCGGAGCCCTTGCCCAGGGGATGGGAGGAAGATGACTTCAAGCATTAACCTGTGTGTTCTTGGGGGTGTGTGCGCAGTCCCACCCATCCCTCCAGCCCAGGAGGTCATGCCTCCCTGCCCACAGAGAGTTCCTCGTGGGGCAGCCCTGCACCCTTTCCTGGCGTGTCACACCCTTGAGGGACCTGGGGACCCCAGCCTGGAGGCTGCTGTGCAGCGAGTTCTCTTCAACCCAAAACAGGTTCTGTACCATGTGAGCAGCCCTGTCTGGCCCCGGCGTGGAGCCGATCCGCAGACCAGGTGCTCATTCTGGTGTGGGTCGGGCATGGAGCGTGGGCAGCGGCCAGGGCTGGTTCTGATCAATGCCCATGGAGCAGGAGGCTGGAAGGATGCCCGTCGCCTGCAGCGTCTGTGCCCTGCACCTCCCCCATCCCGGACCCCCTCTGGCATCCCTGCCCTCACCTGGCTCGCCAGGGCGATCAGGGTGGACTGCACCTGGGTGTGGTTCGTGTTCTCAAAGAGGTCGTTGGCTTCGAAAATGTCGTGCTGCTTCACGCCGTACTTCTTGATGGCCGCGATGAAGTTTCCGATGTTCTCGAGCTGGTGCAGACCGGCAGGGGGTTAAGGAGCGGCCCGGGGGTCCCCGCTGCTCCCGCCTGGGCCCAGCACCCGACGCCTTCCCCAGCAGCGGGATGGGGGATTTCTCCCAGGATTGCCGCAGGACGGAAAGGGCCCAACCCAGGGCCCAACTGGCCCGCTGAGCTGCCCAGCTCTCCACGCAGGGCTCCTGGTGTCTCCCCAGAGCGCAGAGGGGCCCTGCTTCCCTCTGTGCTTTGCCCTCGAAACTGCGTGCGGGCAAGGGCTGGGGATGGAGGTGAGCACTGAGGGCAGCTTGGTCGGGGCCAGGCCCCCCCGCTCCAGCCAAGCAAGGCTGCACTGCCACTTCCTCTCTTCCCTGGGGCGTCTCCCAGCACCCTGGGGCCTTGGGGAGCCTGAAAACCCAGCCCGGATCCTGGCTTGTGGACTTGCTGTCTAGGGGGAGCCCTAAGCCAGGCCCCACGGCCCAGGGTCTCTCTGCTGCCGAAGTTCGTCGCGTTAGAGAGCCCGGGGGGAGCCTTCACCTGGTGCCAGTTCTGGGTGGACTCGTTCACCTTCTTCACGGAGCCAGGCTGGAGTTTGTTGATGAGCCTGAAAGGAAAGGGCCCGAGTCTGGGTTTTGTCTCATACGGCGCTGGGGTGGGACGCAGGAGCTGCTGCCCAGGGCCCCGCAGGCCGGTCGGGCCCCACGTCGGGCAGGACGTACCATGGGCTGTAGGGAACACACATTTGTGCTTGGGGCCCTCCAGCGGCACAGCGCCCCCAGTGCCCCAGCTGGCACAGAGGCCGGGGGAGCCCCTCCTGCAGCAGGCAGGGTCCCTGGGCCCACTCTCGTGGGAGGGCTTAGCCGGCCAGTGCTGGGGGGGATGGGCGGGGAGGGAGATATTGGGCTGCAGCTGGAATCGGGCCACGCTCCCAGGCTACCCCCGAGTCTTGCAGAGTGCTGCTGCGGGGTCTCTTATTCCCCCTCCCCCCAGGCTCCTCACTTGCACAGGATGACGCCGTCCTTCAGCCTCTCCATGAAGTTGGCTCCAATGTGCTCCCCTGTCATGTCCTCGATCCACTCCCGCAGCTCCTGCTCCCGCTGGAGGTCGTACTTCTGGGCCAGCTGCAACAGAGCCAGAGGGCAGTGGGCACGGCTGAGCTGTCCTGTGCCAGGCGCACAGTGGCCTCTGCCCGCCCCAGGGCTGCTGCCTTCAGGGGGAGCTGCGTAAGCAGCACCCCAGGTAGCAAGAGCCCTGGTAACGCCCGGGGTGAGACCCACACTGGCAGGCTGCCGATCCCGGTGCCTTGGCACAGCAGGGGCCAATATCCCCCGTTCCAGAGCCTGAGAGCCCCGGGTCAGGTTTGGGGGACACACCCTCCTACGTAGCTGGGTACGTTTTAGGGATGCAATAGTGGAGACGATTAACCAATGCGAAAGCTTATAGGTTAATGCTCTAGACTTCACGCATCCCCCCCCAGTAAATGTTTTAGCAGGCTGGCCAGTCCTGGCTTGCGACGGGTCCGCGACCTACCCCCGCTGTGACTCTGCATTTCAAGAGGCGGGCAGGCACCCGGCTCAGTTCCGGCTCACGCTGGGTCCAGGAACACAGACCCTCCCCCAGACGGGCTGCTGCCACTACACGCTGCTGCCTCTGTATCAGGGGCAACAGGCAGCTGGTCTGCGAGGGGAGCTGGTTTTTAAACTGGCTCCCCTTGCAGACCAGCTCCCACTTGGCCCCCTGCCACTCTGATACAGAGGCAGCAGCACAGAGTGGCAGGGGGCTCCCTGGGAGTGGGGCTGGAGGGCACCGGCTGCCAGCCCCGCCCCGGGTCCTATAGAATAGTCGTCTAACCGAGAAGAATTCATGAGGTTCCTCGGCTATTCAATTAACCGCGATTTAACACTCTAGTATGTTACAAGGCCAGGAGGGGCCGGCTGGGGCCCCATTTTCCCATGATCCCTGCCTCCTGGGGTGAGCTCACGTCTCTCAGAAAGACACAGCACCAATTCGAAGGCTCTGGGAGCTGGAGAGCCCAGGCCCGTCCCTCACTCGGGGGGCTGATCGGCCCTTCAGCTGCCAGCGCTGGGTTGGGTTCTGCCCTGGTCTGCCCGTGCCAAGAACCTGTTCTTCCCTGCTGGGGAGTCTGAACCCTGGTGTCACCGGGCATCAGGGCACCCCCCACGCTGCGGGAGGCTGTTGTACCCGCTGCCAGCTGGGCAAGGGGAGGCCCGGAATGGCTCAGCAGGTGTCTAGCAGAGCAGGCTGGTGCTGTGACCACTGGACTTTCCTGCCCTGTGCCCTCTTCCAGTAGCTATTTAAACCCACTGCTTCGGGGTGGGGCGGTGGCTTGTTTGCTAGAATGGGGCATCTCCGATCTGCACGCTGCTTCACGGAGATCCATGCGTGGACCACTCACCATGGTGAGGCCCCTGCCTCCCCTCCCATTGGCTCGTGAATGACATCGCCGTGGCAACCTCAGCAACTACTTTCCCCAGGAAAGAAGCGCTGGCACGTTGTAGCACTAGCTAGGGGCCTGGGAAACAAATCTCTCGCTTGGGGGGAGAGGGGGAAGAACCGAATTGCCTCCCTTGGGGGGAGGCCCACACGAGAAGTCACGGTAAACATACGAGCGAGTGGCTGGGCTAGAGAAGGTATCTCTGGTCTCCCTGTCTCAGAGCCAGAAACCAGGGAGACAGGCATCGCCAATTAGGAAGGAATTAAATACTTTTTCACACCGCGCGTAGCATTAGACGGCGGAACTCCCTGCCACCGGACAGAAAGAACGTAGTAGAGTCAAAGACCGGCCGTTTCTGTGGGTAACCGAAGGAACCAGAGTTAGAATCGCTAGTAGCTTTGGATGGGATAGAAAACCTCAGGCTAAAACCAGCCCCTCACTCGTGGGGGCTGATCCCCTCACTTCTGGCTCCTGTGCAAGTCTTGTATTGTCCGTGGTGCTGGCTCCCGAGACGGGCGCCGAGGCTACAGGCAGCCCTGGCCTGCTCCAGCCTGGTGGCCGTTCACGTTGTCCCTGGGACCGTTCCTATCTGTTAGCTCCTTTTAAAACTGTTTAGCTCTGGCAACGAGCAGTTGACCAATTTGCTACCGAGCGGTCCCCAGTATCCCCCCCACCCACCAGCACAAGTGAACTTTCCAGGGGAGGCTTTCCTGCCGTAGCACTACCCAGCTGTACCCCCGCCCAAATGGGGAATGGGTCTACCTGCGGCCAGTCAGTCTTGCGGTTAATGAATCGGCCACAGGCTCCCTGTGCGCCCCAGGGCACGTGGCTGCGTCTCTCTGGGCGCCGTTCCCCAGCTGAGAAGTGGGGAGGACGAGCTTAGTCTCTTTGGGGCAGGGACTCAGGGTCTGTCTACACTAGCCCCCCAGTTCGAACTAGGGTGGCTAATGTAGGCATTCAAAGTTGCAAATCAAGCCCAGGATTTAAATATCCTTGCAGGAGGAATGCCAGGTAGTTCGATTTAGGGGCTTGAATTCGAAATACCGGGTCCCTGCCGTGTGTAGACGCAGGCAGTTTGTCCGGACTTGTACATTTCAAAAATGGCAAAATTTTAAATGTTTAAATCCTGGGCTTGATTTGCAGCTTGGAACGCCTGCATTAGCCTCCCTAGTTCGAACTGGGGGGCTAGTGTAGACAGACCCTCACTGTCTGTGCGGCGCCCCCTCTCAGCGGGGCTCCGAGGGCAAGTGCCACAGCAATGCTACCCCCAGCGGGGCTCTGTACTGCACCCCCTCCCGCCCCCTGTGCAGCATGTGGAGGAGGCAGAAGCAGCCCCTGGCTGA